CGCCCCAGGGCGGGTCGCCCACCAAGCTGCAGCGCGGAGGCTCGGCCCCCGAGGGCGCCGCCTACGCCGCGCCGCGCGGCTCCTCGCCCAAGCAGTCGCCCAGCCGCCTGGCCAAGTCCTACAGCACCAGCTCGCCCATCAACATCGTCGTGTCCTCGGCCGGCCTGTCCCCGATCCGCGTGACCTCGCCCCCCACCGTGCAGTCCACCATCTCCTCCTCGCCCATCCACCAGCTGAGCTCGACCATCGGCACCTACGCCACGCTGTCGCCCACCAAGCGCCTGGTCCACGCGTCCGAGCAGTACAGCAAGCACTCGCAGGAGCTGTATGCCACGGCCACCCTCCAGCGGCCGGGCAGCCTGGCAGGTAAAGGGCGCCGCCACCTGGTGCGGCTCACCTGGGCGCGTGGTCGGGGAGCGCGCTGGCTGGGTCCACACGGCCAGGGTGCACGCAAAGCTCGGGCTGGGCCTCAGCTGGGCCAGTTTGCAGTATTTACAGGCTGTTGATGGTGTCAGGGGTTCCCTGCAATGACTGCCTCGTTAGCTCTCCCAAAAGGTGTCTGTCAGTTACTGCTCCCTGGGAGTGCCTTATTGCAGTCTCTCCTGTTTTCCCTCTTTCTCTCTGGTGTGAAGATGAAACCATAAAAATAAGGCACATGTTGCAAAGAATCACACAGACCTGTTGATCGTATCAGAAAAGGCAAAGCAAGTAACAATTGCACTATTTAGGTGATCACCTCTAGTGGTTAACCTCCAGTTATCAGAAAAAGTGAGCAATTTTTGAAGATCAGACGCTTGACTTACATAGGTTGCTGTAGTAGTGGAAAAATAGCTCAGTCCCTTAAATTTCCTCACTGCTTTAGGACAGGGAGGGAGAGGCTCGTGGGTGCTTTTCTCTACCAGTTTAGGAGAGAAGATTTCTGTGTTGGTGCCCAAACCAACTGATGCATCTTTGCTGTTGGCATCACATGCTCACCTCAAAGCAGACGCCATGATGGAAAGACTGATGCTGTGTCTGCTAAAGCTCCTGATACATAACCCGGATTTACTGCTGATTTGTTACCTTATAGAAATATTTGATAATTGTGTCACTCTGCTAACAGATACTGTGCGCCTGTTTCCTTTCTTGACACAAATAGATGACTGTGAAGATAAATAGCATAAAAAAGGAACTTGTTGCAGGCACCAGGCAGGTGGCCAAGGGTGTCTTTAATTCAGCACAGCAACTGCCAGTGTGAAGGGTCTGGCTTACCAGGATGTGGGCTGCCCACGAAATGATGCTAGGTGCATTTGCTGAACTAAAAATAATCTCCTCCTCTGTCTCTCCCAGTAGCATAGACTTTGGGAGTAGTCACCAATGCCTACTCTTGTACCCGGACCAGAGTATCTCTCGTGCAGGGAGTCAGGAGTAACAATCTGGTTAGAAGAGTGTTGTAGGAAATGGTTACCAAGCCTTTGTGACATAAATTACTAGATCGTGTCAAGGAGGGTGGATGCAGTAGTGTCAGAGAGAAGAAAGCCCCATAGCACCTTTCAGTCTCCAAAGCAAAGAGGAAATTGAGGCTGCAGGCATCCAGTTTCATTTTCTGCGCTTACCTGGTGGAAGGAATCCAGAGTCTTTGCTTCCAGCTCTTCCTCCTCTGGATATGTGTGGTAGATGTGTGCGTGTTCCGTGATATCACTTCAGTGAGAAAAGGGAGGAGGCCACGTGGCGAATATATCGGGTCCAAAGGAGAGGTGGTAGGAGTAGCAATGGAGTAGCAAGGAACCAAGCTGCTCATTAAACCAATGTCTCCAGTAAGGGGGTTAGGAGTGAATGCACTGTGGATAAGTGCTGGTGTTCTAATGCACGTAACACATGTTTCAGAGGGATGGTATATGTGTGCAGGGATGCGTGCCTGTGTGCATCTGTGTGTACACCACACAGGTGTGTACAGTTGGGTGGTGTCTTCTGAGACAAAATACCCAACGTCCAAAGTTAAAGGGGAAAGCTTGATTTAGCTCACAGTGTGTAAAGGTTTCAGTTCATAATGAACTAACTCCAAGGCAGGGTGGCATGACAGACGGCCATCGCAGAAAGCAAAGTTTGTGGTGCGCAGGAGGTAACAAAGTAACAAGGGCCAGCCACAGCTCTTTCTATCCCTTATAACTTATTCAGGCTACTCGAGGCAGGTAGCACTCACACCTTAATCCTAGTGCCCTCGATCCTAGCACTGCACCATGTATCACTCCCAGCATCACACACCCTAGATCCAGCCACTTCTGAAAAAGCCCCACTTATGACCACATGAGGCTTTGTGGGGACATCTAGACACAAACCACAACAGTTCGTTAAGGGTAAGGAAGCTTTTGGCCAGAAAGAGAATTCCAGTTAGCTAACACATTCCCTTGGGCCTTCATTTTCCTCCACATTTCCGTTTGTTCCTCGATCGTTTCTGCCACTACTTGATTTTACTACCTGTTGAGAGGAAACAAAAATCAACATGCCTTTGAAGAATCTTAATTTTAGAGCTGCAATGGTTACTTTTAATGTTGAATGCATTTGTTTAACATGCATGCCTTTAAATATTCATTTAAATCTTTTTTTCACAAATTGCTCCTGGTATTTTTGAGCTTGAGGTTATTCTACAATGGTGAGTAAACAGTTGGTTCCCATAAGCTTGTGTGTCCCATTTAGCAAATCTGTGGCTCAGGAGAGGAACAGGAGGGGAGCTTTAGAGTTTGGGAGGCCAGGAATCTTGGAGCTTTAGGACTCCACACCTGATTCTACGCCCTTGATACCATTCCAGGCATCGCAGCATTCATAGCCTCTTGGTTTGTTCATAGAAAGAGCAAGTTTGAAACAAGATTGAAAAGTAGTTTTTGGATTTAAAGGGTTTTGAAAGACTTGTCACTGATAACTAGGAAGTGTAAACACAGGCTAGCCACTTTCACTAATAATCAGTTCATTTCATCATAATTTATTTTGTATTTCTTGTGTACTACCACTGATTTAGACCCTGGAGATAGGATACCAACTGTAATCCCTGTTTTTATTTCAAATGGACAGGATGAAAAAAATCATCAGAATAAATACTTCCAGCCAGCAAGGTAGTGCATGCCTTAATCCCATCTACTCAGGAGCCTGAAGCAAGATCTCAAATTCAAGGCCAGGCTGGGCAATTTAGCATGACCCTGTCTCCAGATAAAGTGAGAACTCAGTGGCAAACACCTGCCTAGTATGAGAAAGGTCCTGTGTTTAATCCCTACCACCAATAATAATAATAGTGGTAATAATAAATACTTTGGGTAGGGGGGCAAAGGGAAGCCCTAGTTAGAAGCTGACTTTTCAGTTAGTTTTGAAAAGGTAAGCCGGCCGGCCCTATGGGTATCTGGAGAATGGATGTTCTGAGACACAGGAAGAGCCAGTTGAGAGGCTTACAGACTGAGCCCTGGGGATGCACAGTCAAGGACAAGCCACACTGTGAGGTCAGTGGGTTGGCCAGTGGGGTGGAGGTGGAGAGCCAGATCACGAAGACCCTGCAAGTCTTGATAGGGACATGAGGACACTAGCTTTGCTACACTGGCAGGGATCTAAGGGCTGGAGCAGAGAGTGACAGTCTCAGGTTTACTCTGGCTGCTGTATTGAGAACAGACTTTCAATATTAAAGGCAAAAGCAAGAATGTAAATTGGTGTGATGGCGATAATCTAAGCAAGAGGTGATCGGGCGAGGGGTCTACAGGATCACAGTGGAGGTGATGCAAAGCTGTGTAATGTTGGTGTATGTCATAGAGTCAGTGGAGTTTCCTCATGGGCTAGGTGATCATGGCCAGAGAGCAAGGACACAAGGACGCCACTAATCCCACAGCAGAATGGAGCGCTCGTTGACTGAGATGGGGCCAGCTGCCAAGGGCACTGGGCAGCTTTGCAGTAGTGGGCAAAATCTAAATTTTGGATGAGTGATGGTGTTCTGTCACAATCAGAGTGTGTATGACAAGCAGAGCTGGACATGTAGTCGAAGAAGTTTTTTCAAGGTTTTGTTTTGCTATGAGCATTTCCAGACCTGACACATTCTGTCTGAGGATTCTCATCACCAGCTGCAAAGGTCAGGACATACACATCTGCGTTTTCTCCTAAATCTGACTGGCAGCCGAACTCTCTGAAGTCTGCCCAGAGACTGCAGGGTTCTACTTCTCTGGGAAAACACCAAAGTAGAGATTAAATTTAGAAAAGTATAATTTCTCACATATGCACTCACCAGAGGCCAAAGATCTCACATAGTTTTTCTTTTCCTTTCAAATACCACTGTTATCATTACGCAGTAGTGCCTGAATGGAAACCCAGCTCTTCTTTCTTGGGTGCATTACCCAGTACTTCCTAACCTTAGACATGTTACCTACCAACCTGAATTTTTTCCCTGATAAAGGAGGTCAGAGTAGTATTTACTTTTACTGTTTTGAACATAAGATCAGGTAATATCTAGGCGTGATCAAAACAGATCATCAATGATTAAATGAAATTTTTAAAATTTATTACAATAAAAGACATATTGCCATGAATCTGCCTCAAAATAGCCATGAATCTGCCTCAAAATACACATCCTTGCCTTAAACGCACTTATCCCATCATTCTTGCCACTCTCTGAAGCAGTTCTGGAAGTGCTCTTTCGTGACTGTCATCATGGCTGCTTTAATGTCTTGAATCAATTTTAAATATTTATGGCAATTTCTTTCAAATGAAAATGTTGTGATGGTCACATCTGCCTTATCCACTGGATCTGACGTGGAGAGACCCTGGTTCTTCCCATAATTTAAAATGACTACCCAAAGCAAGTGCTCTAAATTGACTCAAGCCAT